CACAATTCTTTGAAATCCAATTGAATTTTCCCAGTATGTGGAAAAATACGAAATACGGTGATCCACCGGAATTTAGTCTTTAAGGTGTAGGTCGGAAATTATTCAAGTCATTGACTTTCAATTTTATCACAACGGTATATACTACTGATTGGTAGAATAGTAGAAAACTACTCACACGAAACAGTAGTGATTACCAGTCCAAAACGAAGTAAACGAAACATCCCATGGCCGCTTCGCTCCTTTGGAGCCGAACCCATCAGTGATGTGTCGCGTTAACCTATTCAAGATTCGAGTGGTTTGAACTGATTCAACTTTCAGAGCTGGGTGTAACCGGAGTTCACCAATGATGTCTGGAATCCTTGAATCCATACCACAAACTAGATCTTGACCGTGTGTCAAGTATTTTATTTGATTAATGTACACATTTTATGTCATCCTATTACAAGAACACAACACCTGGTCTAGTTGTCTTTACGGTTACACTGTTTTCATATAAATAGTTTCCTATCTACAGTTCACCAATGGTTTTATTCAAACGGTGTCAAACTGAACGCCGCTAAATGTCAGACCGTTAGTTTTAGATCCAGACGTGAGGAAGACTTGTGTGCACTGCTTCAGCGCCATGTTTCTTGTAATGTCGATGGCACTGCTGTCCAAAATAAGTCGTATAATACTTAGGTAAGTATTAGTTACTTCTCTGATCTTTAGCGACCGCCTTATATCTTGTCGATTGCTAAAAATATGTTTTGTTCCATTTATCACATAAGGAGACTGACACACCTACTGACGTAATTCAGTCTCTTCTCTAAGAATTTATTAATTCATATATCCCACACAATATTCTTTATTGTTCCACCTTATTCTTCTCTGGGCTTCTGAATTTAGACTTCCACATTATGGACGACTTTGAAGACTGTAAGCAGAGTTAGTAGTGTCTACCTTTGATCCAACCAACTGACACTATTGTTGGTAGACACAACATCTGATCGAATACTAAACGCCTTCTTCACTCACAACTTTCCTAGTGTATCTCTTTAGGAGAAAATCTAGAAGCAATTTTACTAGAACTTATGACTGTACAGTTAAATGTAAAGGTCTAACTAAACTCTCTCTATGACGGGAAAGAAATAAGAGACTTCCTTTATAATCATCTGTATATAAACCGCTACTTATTTCTAGCAATCACTTGTGGTGGTAGTATTACCTGCATTGACCTTATGTATTCAATTCAGATTTTGCGATCATATATATTTTGATTTTATTTATATAAGAAATACAAACTGTTGTGATAAGAAAATGCTGAAAACTCCAAAGAAGTGAAGATAACCGTCCTGTGCCTAAACTAGTAAAACATTTATCAAATGTTTAAGTATGCCTAGTAGACACGATTATCTAACGTCAGGGGTTTCTATCTACCATTATTACTAAAAACAGTAGTAAATACCAGTTGAATATAAACTGCATAATTCTTTACCATCTTGAGCAGCAATCTTCGAATATTTGGCATGCGATTCGCTCCCGCCAAATCCAAGTAAGATGCTGCAGGACTGGACTACATCGACTCACTTCTAGCTTAAAGATAGGGAGAGAGTAAACTGGTGGCTGAGCGTGTTGACCACTTCATTTATTTGAGGCTCGTTTGGCATTTGACAGCCAACTTACGTCATCTCTGGCTTAGTAGACGTGATATCCTGTTGGCTGTGGACCAAAGGGCGTGTGTACTGCTCAGCAGTTCGCTCCGAACTCCTTTACGGCTGTCACTGAGACATGGCCAGGTTAGCTGTCTTTGATCATAGGTGTCTGCGTTCTATTTCCCGTTTTAGGTGGTATAGTAGAGTGAGTAATATTGAGGTTAGGCTTCAGTTGAGTGGTAGGTAAGGAGGAGGGGGGAAATCAATCGACGAGGTTGTGAAGCAGCTGTATCGATTGAGATGGTTATGACATGTGTTACGCATGCCTAGCCATCGCCTTCCTCGACAACGGGCAATGCTAGCTGATATAGGATTGATCAGGGTGGAGACGAGTTAATGGTCAGGGGTGGGTGCCTTGCGCTGCGGGTTGACCACCCCTCCGCACACCTCTTGAAATGCTCCCATATGACCGGGCGTCTTACATAGCCTCTCCTGAGGAAGTCCTACTCACTGCCTTCACGTGGCGGAGGTGTCTTTCACCAAAGTGAGAGGGCGAAAGCGGATGCCCGGCGCTCTTCACCGGGTTGACTGTCCATTGGATGACAGTCTAGGGGAGATGGCTAAACCCTGATTTCAAACCTCCAACGACTGGCGTATGCAGCTCACTGGAGCTCACCGGCAGACGTATGGACAAAGGGCTTGTTGGATGTCCTGGATGTCTGGCCCCATTCAAAAAGGCGTATGAACCGAACTCCGGTCACCGGCTGCCAATGGATAGTGGACTCCCTACTCCACTCCTACTGCCTTGTAGGTCACACTTGGTTGTGTAAAGGCTAGAGCTGCACTCTCAAACAAAAGGCCGAGCGATTCTGGGGACATCACTCGTACCAAATTCCCATGAAACTTCATGAACTCTCTTACAAACGACTCTCACCATGGCATCAGATCGCCGCGCCTGGGCAGCGATGATTCGAGATGTTCATGAAGCCGGCTCATCCTCCCGTAGGAGATAACCGAAGTAAAGTAAAGTAAGTAAACGGAAACGTGGCTTCATCAGTGAATGAAATCCACAACAGTTAGTCTAAGCCAGCCAGCCAGCTAGCCAGCTGGGCACGTAGGGAGTTGTTGACTTCCTTACTTGTTGGGGTCCTCGGGATGGTAAGAAACGATGTCGGCTGGAGACCAGTAGGGTGCAGCAGGTCGGGTGTGAGGACAAATACTCGCCAAAGACATTGGCTAGGGGTCGCGCTATGTCGTGAATTGGCAGAAGTTAGAATTCATGGGCAATTGGATCGGGTCCCAGTGGCTTAGTGGTATACGAACTCGCCTTGTAACCAGAAGGTCCTGGGTTCGAATCGCGGTGGGTGCGTACCGCTGAAGAGTCCCAAACCAGGACGAAACAATTGTCCAGTACTCCCAGGTTCTACAATGGTTCTCTAACTAATGTCAGCTCATGATGAAAATCCTGTAACCAAACAAATCCCCACAAACCAACACTTGAATTTGTGATATGGCTGAAAATCGTTGTCAATGGCTGGTGCAGATGCATCCACTCCGTGTGATTTACAATGTTCAATAAACTATATTGTTCTTCCATATTACTATTTGTTCTTTTTGCTGCGTATTTCTGTTTATTATCTCTTTCTTTTTCTCTTCTGAACATGCCTTGTCTTTTTTCTTGCTTTGTGTGGTGCATGGAGAGTGCGTGGCAACTCGAAGTTCTGCACATCTGTTCACAGTTCTATGCTGAAACCAGTCAGTCAAACATTTAATGCAGTTTGAAGAATTGGTTGTACACTTGTCAGTAATTATAGTCATATTTTTAAATTTGAGCAGATTTATCGAGGAATTTAATTCTGTACTATGTGACTCTACAAGCATTGCTACATCGTATACGGTTGATTTTCAACTTTACATATAATTAAGACTCTGGGATCTGTGGGGATTTTTAGATTAATTTCAGTTGTTAAATTATCGTCACCCAGTGACCCCAAAATCTAATGTCAGTCGCCACCTCACCGAGAGCTACTGGATGTATTTCCTGACAAGTAGGGTCCACCATATCAAGGCAAAATGGATTCTCACTGAAGACATTGATGAATGCAGGGCTATATCTTGAGCTGATAAACTTAGAATCACAGGTATCAATGAATTCCAACCCAAGTGACCAAGGAATGGTCAATGAGCTTGGTTTCGTAACCTGAAGGTGATTTCATCACTGGCTACGCGGGATCGCGAGTGCACACTGATGAAGATTCCCAAACTATGAGAACAAAACAGCTGTCCAGTGCGCTCTAGTGGTTTTCAATGATCCCTTTAACTGCTGCTGGTTCGTGACGAAAAGAATTAAAGTAAAATCCTTTATTCGTGATAAAAAATCTACCACTATTTCCTCTGGAAATCGGAATTTTTCAGGCTACAATTGATTATTTGTTTGATACCACTAATAGTTATGAAGAAATCAAACTGACTAAATAGTTTCAACATAGAAGTGTGAACAGATGTGCAGAACTTCGAGTTGCCGCGCTCCCCCGATGTACCACACAAAGCAAGAAGAGAGTAAAGGCAGGTTCAAAAGAGAGAGAGATAACAAACAGAAATACGAAGCAAAAAGAACAAATAGTAATATGGAAGAACAATATAATGTGTTGGACACTGTAAATCACAAGGAGCGGATGCATCTGCACCAGCCATTGACGACGATTTTCAGCCATATCAACGATTGTCTCCAGCCCACATCGCTTTTTACCATCCCGAGGACCTCAACAAGTAAGGAAGTCTACAACTCCCTAAGTGGCTGGCTAGCTGGCTGGCTTAGACTAACTGCTGTGGATTTCACTCACTAATGAAGCCACGTTTCCCTTTGACCACCACTAACTCTTCTCCAACCTGATCACCCTCTTCCTGGTCTACAGCCTGCCTGGTTCTCTCATGTTCGTTCCTCCTGAGCACCGTTTAGTCTACGCATTATTATTCAGTCTGTAACTTTGGATACCATATTGGTCAAGCTAATCCATCTGTGATTAATGAATTGCATTAAAAGAAGTAACAGTCATATTTTTTCGTCCGTTTGCATTTCTCTTTTCTTCGTTTACTATCCGGCTAGTAAACTATGGAAGTTTTAGGAATGCGTCGGTCGGGAATTGAAGCCAGGCATTCAGTGTAGCTAGCAAGCATTCCACCTACCGTGTTTTGATCAAAGATAAGATTGTTAGACAGGTGACATGTTTTCTGTGTAAATGTAGGATGACCACAAAATAGTAGTTGAGATTCAGAACTTTTACAATTAACAAGGGAACATACCTCGTGACATCTGCAATGTGTTGATGTCGCAACTCTCTCCACAATGTATCCCCTTCAGCTACATTGGCTTTACGATTCCCATCAAATCTTTAAATACAAAAGAAAATATTTAATTAAGAAGTTAGATAACCAACAAAAAGACAGACATAATTCATGTAGCACCTAGAGCATTAGTGTGCACTTCGACACATCCTTAGATTTGTGTAACAGGTTGATGAATCAGATGAAAACTAAAAGGTCAGACGATAATCTGAAACTGCAATAGACGCATGTAAATAAGGAAATTCAAGGAAAAACGAAAACACACTAGATCATTGGAATTATTTGGAAAAGACAGTTGCAGCGAAGAAGAAAACGTTCTTTTCGATGAAGTCAACATCAAATAGGCTGTACACTCGTGTATTTACAGTAAGTGAGTAAGAAATCCCTTGAACTACTTCCGGTCAAGGGTCAAATTAATAAAATTGGAAAGTGTAATAAACAGGAAGATGGGATAAAAAACATAGTAAGATCCTAATTACTAAGAAACTTGACTGTTTCTTGTGTATTCTGATTTGACACTAGTAACTAGTGTCAAATCAAAATATCCACTACAGTCCTACAGGAGGTCAATCGCGAGCCCGAATAGCTCAGTGGTAACGTCTCTGACTGCAGCACTGGGTGACGCGGGTTCGAATCTCAGAAGGGACATGAGTTCCTTCAAGGTTGCAGATACGCCTTGCTGACGAGTGCCAACTAGCACGAAACCTAGGTCCAAGGCTTCCTGCCGATTGCCTCCAACCATCTCATATCATCACAAACAATGTTTCTTGTGTAGTTATGGATCGAAAACATAGTAATAACTAAATAGGCAGGAAGTTAGGATAAAAAACAGTAATGCAAATAGGAACAAAAAACATCGTGAAATAAACAGGAAGATTGGATAGGAAAGGTAATAGGATGATCATTATTGAGAGGACTGACTTTTTGTGACGGCCATGGTAGGGACAACGGTTGGAAGTATTTATCTTGAATACATAGTGTGGGACTTGAACTTTTGGATCGCTAGTGCCTCAGTTACTTCCAGAGGCCTTGACCCCACTCCATTTCAGAAGTTTGATAGGATCGTGTATCTGGCTGAAGGACTTTCCACATGGAGCTGAATGTCCTGAATTCACCATATGTACTGTTACTGCACTATACACACCTTTGCGTTCTCCTTCGCCAAGCATGCCAAGAGTATTTTACAAGCGGACGCATGGTACGGCCAATGTTTTCTGCTCCACAGGAGCAAGTGAACTGGCGTATGCATGATGAAATGACCTGATGCGAAAGCTTGTCATTCACATGCTGGCTGAATAGTTTCTTGCAAGGAAATTTCACTCGTAAGCTGGCAGCAAAGTATGTTTTACTGGGAGATTTCGAAAGTCATCTACGGAGTTCTGCTACAGTATCACTTTTAAATTCGAGGTACAGCACTAACATCTTTGGTCGGGGGCGACTTGGACCTTTTCACACGTTTCCTTTGGTTTTAGATTGATGTCTATGAATCTGGCTGAGAAACCATTTTCTATCAAGGTCTCTCGGAGATTGTGCAATTTTTCGTCCACTGATTCCCTAGTGTATATTTTCCGGATCCTTGAGGAAATAAAGTATATGAGGTTTCTCTTTCTGCTTACAGGAACACAACTTTGAAGGGTGATAAACTGTTTATTCCATGTGGACTTTTTGTACATGGACCTTTTCAGAGTTATCAGTATTTCTTTGCAGTTGAACATCGAGGAGATGAAATATGGAATCAGATTCAACTTCTGAAGTGAAGTCACAGTTTGGGTGGGCATTACCGAAGGTTTTGGGTAGATTTCTAAGATCCTAATTCTCATAACAAACAATGAAAGTGTCACCAATGTATCTCTTGTGGAGATAGAGCTTATCGACAATTAGTGATTAGGAATTGTTTTCTAGGCCAGCCATGAAGCAGTTGGCCAAGAGGGGTCCTAGAGGAGAACCTATTACTACTCCATCTATTTATCGGTATATTTCGTTGTTGAATCTAAAGTAGACGTTGAAAGTGAATCATAGTAACAGCTTCTTTAGATAATCGATAGGTATGCCGACATTGATGCTACTGGGTTCAATTAAGTCACAAAGAAAGCATGCAGTTTTTGTCAGTGGAACGTTAGTGAAGAGAGAAACGACATTTAGGGAGACCATTTTTTTACTGCACAAAAGACAAACAATTTCCTTAGTGACTATGGTCCTAATATGATTTTCCCCGACCTTCATGTTTATTTTATTACAATTATTATTAAATTGTAACTCCTGTTTGCAATTTTACTAATTTGACCATTGACCGGAAGTAGTTCAAGGGATTTCTCACCCACTTACTGTAAATACACGGAGATACCACACTGCTAATTAAACGGATATACAACAAGAATGCATCTGCGTCATAACCATTCATTCCGAACCATATTTTCTAGGGTCTTACATCATGGATTCCAATTATCTTAGGGAAAACCTACCAGTCAAACTAACAGTCTCCTACATAGTTTAAACCAACAATGAGTGTTATCGTTAACCTACATTGTAATGATTTATACACCTTCTACCTTTGCTTAGTCAAAAGAATGTCCCATCCACTGCAGATAATGATTCGTTATTTCATTAAATGATTTACCCAGTCCACCTGGGATTCCATGTTTAACTAATGCACTGGCCACGTAATAGTTTAGTTTAGTTGGTCATATTTAACAGATACAGTTAAACAGCACACTCGATCCTTAAAAGCCAACCTAAGTGGTAAAATCTGACAAAAATAAATAAAACAAGATTTTTGTACCAATGGTGAGAAGATTCCCTTAGTCAACAAAACGGAGCAAAGACGGTGTGACTTATTGCGTAAGTGGAGTGGTGGTCAACGCGTAGCATCAATTCACTACATATAGTGATATGTAGAATTGACATAGATCATACCTGTGGAGTAAGAAATTACACATTTTGTGGTGCAATCAATAAGATGTGAGGCTACTAAAAGCTGACTTCCGAAGATGTCATAGCCGACACTCCGAGTGATCAATATCGGTAGAATCTCTCAAGACAACAATAGTGTCACAATAGATTATTTTGTATATTTATAGAGATTCAACAACCACATTTCACGATTTCACCACAAGGTGACATCGGTTAGAGAACGATTGGAAAACCAACTAGGAAGCACTGTACATTTGTTTCGTCCTACTTTGGGACTCTTCACAGTACACACCCACCGCCAGAGTTAGAACCCAGGAGCTTCCGGTTACAAGGCAAGCTCGTAGACAATTAAGTCACTGGGACCTGATCCAATGTCCATGAATTCCAACTTCTACCAACACATGAACTATATTCCATTTAATGCACAGTGAATTGTTTCACACGAAAGCTGATACATTTTTGTCCAATGGCTCTTGTACATTTTTCTTCACCAATGAAGTCATTGAGTTTTAAGCAGCTTATTTTAAAAATGATTATTTGCAATTTCTAACAACATATTTTTAAAAAGTATATGATTAGGTTCACAAATGGAATATATTATAACGAAGGTAACATTAAGAACTTACACAACTGAATTATCCTCTACACTAAGTAAATCATAACACATAGCTTGAAGTGTTAATTCATGCAAAAGAGGACTAACAGGATCCAAACTACGATCAACGATTAATAAAATACTTTGATCTTTATGTGAACCCTAAAAAGGGTGAAGAAGATACTCAACTTAGGACTAGAGTAATAAAAGCGATTAGTTGAAAAAAACTTAAACTTATGCAATACGAAATACTATGCAAGTGTACGTAAATTGTCTTCTCCTGAATATTGTTTTCATTAATTACTGGGGATTATAAGACTCTTCTTATTTTATTATTATTCCCCTGGGTTGCGAGTGGTACGTAGAGCTTCATGAGCACATCTCCATTTCATCCTGTCCTCTGCAGTCCCCTTTAGTTGGTTCCACAACTGCCCATAAGCATTGATCTCCTGTTCAAGCAATCTCCTCAATGTCACCCTCGGCCTCATGTCCGACTTACCGTTTCCCATTCGGTTTACAATAGAGGGCCTGACACGCGATGTCATTCACACATGTGTCCAATCTACCTCTATTCCCTTCGGCATATTTGTTAGACAATACCTTGTTGGTCGGTTCGTTTCCAGTTGTTTATTCGCCTTGACCATCCGATCTTCAGCATCGACAAAAGGGCAGCTGTTGGTGAAAGTCTGTAGCCTGTTGGAAATGCTTTACGTGACGCGTTTTCCAGGTCTCTGAATTATATAGAAGTACTGCCTCGAAAGCACGAATCTTGTTCTTTATACTGAGTGCATCAGATTTTTACACTGATTTCACAGTAATGAATCTCTGTCTTGCTTCTCCGATCCTGATTGGCTTTAACATTTCCATCCGTGCGAACTCCTGTAGTTGAAACGATGCTACCATGATAAGTGAAAGAAGTGACCTCGTTCATATTTCTCCAGTTGATAAGAAATAAGCAAATAGTCCACATAGACTATCTGTTGAAGTATTGATGTGTTTGAAAGCAGCTCCGCCGTTGAATAGCATTGACTTGCCTGTAGTCACACAACGACAGGGTGAAAGTATTAAAAACTAATATAGTTTGGTGGAGAGAGAGGTTAATCACTGAAGCTTTGTTTATCAATTCAACACCGCACACGTGCAATCGAAATGACGCAACGCCTACACCGGAGATATGGGAAATGGCAACAAACAACAAAGGGAAGTTGGAAAGACAGAAGAAAGAGAAAAATGTATTTAAGGCAAATTGTGAAACCGTGTGACTAAAACTGATATGATTATCAGTGGCAATAATTTATGCTCGAAACGTCATCCAGTTGTTAGTATTACATCACTGTGAAAATAATTAAACCATGAAATGTTGTTCTCAGAGCCCTTAAAAGTGTTGAAATTGAGAAGACAAATAGCACTATCTATAGCTGCTAAGTGCGTCAGTGGCTTAGCGGTTAGGATGGTCACCAACCGTGAACATGGTCCGGGGTTCGATCCCCGGCCGACGCACTCTTTTACCTCGCTAAGCCAGTAATAAAGCTAGTAAAGAGTAAAGGTTGGGCATGAGGTTGGTAACCCCATCCTGTAAAAATTAACACTGCCACAGAAACTTCATGCCTCTAGCTTGAAACCACTGGGAACGTGAAGGAATGAAAAAAATACCTGCTAACTACCATGAACTGTTGGGGATCACATAAATCTAAAATCATTAGTTATCTTCGCTATAAGCAATGAACATTAGCAACTTTTGCGCCGCCTGTAATTATTACTGACGAAATTTTAGTCACTGCCTTGCAGTCATGATCATATTTATATAAAAGAAAGATCGAATGAGCTGCGTTGGTTGCAACTATAGTGGCATCTGTTGTATACTCGTATGACTAAAAGCATCTACTGTTATACAGTGTGAATAACATTTAACTGTGGCAGCAGTTCGAGAGAGAAATCACACTACTGGTTGCGAAAATTTCCAACGACACTGTTGGAAATGCATGACGAAAATGGGAGTTTGTGTGAATAAAATTACCATAATTATTTGTGTAACCAGAGTCAGAAGTGTGACTGTTATCAGTAGTGTTATTCTTTAGTTGATCTCTCCCAGATGGCAGAGTTTCGACGACTATGAGTTGCAGTTTCATTTGTATAAATGGATTCAAATCTGACTGCCACATCGAAGTCGGGCAAATTTAAAAATATCAGAATAGATAATTTCCTAACTGTACGGAGTACTGGAGCGGTGTTGACAAAGTCATTTTGCATACCAAGATAGGAAACTTTATTTTATTTTTGGGAATAGTTAACTGCGCCATTGGGTTCTTTATAATCAGTAAACTGTTCAATTGTTAATAAACAAGCGACTGTTATTTGCAAACACAAATCAATCATACAACTAAATAATAACTTACCTGACCCAGAGCTGGATTGTCACCTTTGTATGTGTCTAACTTCAGTTGAACTAAACGAGCCAACTCCAAGTTGGTATCAGTCCTATAGGATTTGTAAAGGGATGTAAATAAACTGTTAGTAGGATATCTACGATAGAAGGGAAAAAATATTCCCAATGTACAACATTTTCTACGTAAAACAACAAAGATACGGCAGGTTTGTAGTGTCTTACTATACGCTTTCACTCCATATTTCAGCATAAGTGACAGACCGACTAAGTGACTGACTGGTTTCAACATAGAACTGTGAACAGATGTGCAGAACTTCGAGTTGCCGCGCTCCCCCGATTTACCACACAAAGCAAGAAAAGAGAGTAAAGGCAGGTTCAAAAGAGATAGAGAGAGAGATAATAAACAGAAATATGAAGCAAAAAGAACAAATAGTAATATGGAAGAACAATATACTTTATTGGACATTGTAAATCACAAGGAGTGGATGCATCTGCACCAGCCATTGACAACGATTTTCAGCCATATCACAAATTGTCTCCAGCCCACATCGCTCCTTACCATCCTGAGGACCCCAACAAGTAAAAAAGTCTACAACTCCCTACGTGGCTGCTTAGCTGGCTGGCTTAGACTAACTGTTGTGGATACCATTCACTGATGAAGCCACGTTTTCGTATAACCAGCACTAACCCGTCTCTAACCTGATCAATCCTATGTCAGCTAGCATTGCCCATTGTCGAGGAAGGCGATGGCTAGGCATGCGTAACACATGTCATAACCATCTCAATCGATACAGCTGCTTCACAACCTCGTCGATTGATTTCCCCCCATCCTTCTTACCTACCACTCGACCGAAGCTAACCTCAATATTACTCACTCTACTATACCACCTAAAACGGGAAATAGAACGCAGACACCTGCGATCAAAGACAGCTAGTCTGCCTTTTCCTGTCTTCCACTTTCACTGGCCATGTCTAGCTCACAGCCATAAAGGAGGAAGACAAAGCGAACTGCTGCTGAGCAGTAAAAACCCGCCTTTTGGTAAGTGACAGACAGCTAAAATGTGCAAGAACCTTAACGCTAAAATATGTGCGACACATTTTAAATATTTTAACTTAATTTTGTATTTACCGTTGATTGATAATATTGAACCGAAATGTTCTATCTCTGCTGATATTTTGGTTCCTAGTGCGGACGCTTCGACAATCAATCAACGGCAATACAAACTTCAATTAAAATAATAACTGATACACGGTTGTACAAGAGGTGGATCTCGTGGTCCGAGTGGCCTTCAGTGCTTGAAACGATTGGTTCCGGGTTCGAGTCTCAGCGGTGACTCACTAGGAATGCAGGTATATCGAGCTTACGAGTTCCAAACAGGATGAAGTGCACATCCTAAATCCCACTGCTAGTCACCATCCGCCAAACCTTTAAAATATTACCTACTAAAACTTCTCGTTATTTGTTGATGAAAGCAACTTTATAGACTTCTAGAATGGCCGCTTCAATGATAGTTTTGATTTCATCTTGATTTTATTTAGTGGGTAGTGGCTAGCAGTGGTATTTTTTCAGGACGAAGGTTTCGTCCTGGCTACCATTTATTCAATAATAATTTAAGTTTTAGAATGTATCACGGCTTAAAAATGGCTATCGATTTAAGATGAGCACAAATCACAGAAACGCAAGTGTTATGAGGGAAGACTTGTTAACCTGTTGAGGAATTGCCTAAACACTATAAATAACTGTAGTTTAAAATAAGAGGTAAGACGATATAGTTAAAATTGGATCCAGCCACTGGGGTAAGGTTAGGTTAATCACTTCCTTTATATATACAAGGGTTATGTTGAAAATCTTTCATTACAAAGATTTAGTCAGACTATAAAAGGAAAAAAAATTATGGAATATAAAAACAGGAATAATAGTTAATTATGAGAATAATGATACTACCCCTACAACTAAACGTTTAAGAGAATAAAGATACTCTCTGATAATTGTGTTCGGTAGTAGACTCATAGATACATAACTAGCTCCGCTAAATCTTAAAAAAGGTAAGTAATGCAGTAAAGTCTTTCTTAAGATTCCCAGAGAAAGGATATGAGCAAACAATACAGAAATAGGAAACATCAACGCATATCACTATTGAATAACTGAGTTTCCACTTAGAACTTTTTACAGAAGTATCATACTCCATATAGCAAACAAGTGCAGAGAAAAGAAACTGAAAATAATGGGCAGAAATGTACGGGAGAAAGAATAATAACAAGGACAAATGTGAGGATTTAATGGATAATAGGAAATCATAAAGAGTGGAAGCATCTGAGCCAATGCCAGCAATTTTGAGCCACATCACCATCGATCTCAAACCATTAGTGTCATATGTATTAAGAACGTCAACGTAAGGTCTTTTAAACCCTATCAGCTAGTGACGTGCTCAAATTCCAGCCTGTGCACCACAGGTTTAAAGCCTACAGAATTATGAGTAGACGGGTAGTATTGTAACAACAAAAGACAAGGGCCAGGCAACAGATCGTTTATTAAGGAAAGTCAACACATATTTATAGATTTTAATGTACATTATTGTAGATTATTGTTAGGAGAAAATACAGTCTTTTGATTGGTTGTTTCTCACAGAAAGTTAACCTTGCATCTCTTTGTGGCTGTTTAGGATCATCTATATGCTAACGGTACCTGCCTACGCAAAGCCTTTGTTCTCATTTTCTCACCACCAATATTGGGAACATAAACACTGATGTCAATTAATGTCTACCAACTTTGGTTAGCAGCCAGCTCTCACCACAGTATTAACAGTCGCTGAATTAAAAATGCGTCTCATTGGCAATCTTATTAATATACATGCGGTTATTGAGAAAGATTCTCATGTCTCACTGTTTTCTAGATTTGGGACAGACTGAAAGAGGTAATATGATCAGCTCATGACATGGATATGTTGAATGAAGGTTATTTTTGTTACGTTCACATGTGTTAATGAGTATTACTTGAGACCGTACGAGCGAATAGTTTGAAATGTAATCAGACACGGAGTAAAATTGAAATCTACGGCAACTGTCTGGTATCCTGCATATTTCTGTTCATGTTGAAAGAAGTGCACAAATATTTTTCAATATCTCCGACACTTGAAAGGCCTTATTTAAGTGTAGCATGCAGCTATTAGTTACCAGACGTATAATATATTGACAGAGCTCAGTTAGTACTGAGGACTAAACAGTCGGATAGGATACACAATGTTTAGAAAACTACTATCTGTCAGAATCAGATTGAAAGCGAATTGCATCCAAAACAACTAATTGGTAATATTTAGGCGCATAACTCTGATGAATGCAGATTAAATTAGTTAGTGAACATGAATAAATTTGAAACTTAGGTTAAGCAGATGACTATCAATTGTCAGTAATACACATCGGATGTGATACAGCTTTTACTAACTTATCTAATGCATTTTAGAATAACTTTTAGTACAGCATTAAATACAACAAGCCCTGAATACAAAATGACAAAATAGGCTCACTTGTGATAACAAATTTTCGGGTATTCTTGTAACGTTATACATACAGAGGCTATTTGTTCAGCAATCTGATCGATTCGACTAAGTTTGTCATGAACAATATCAGCGGGTAAAAAGTAAAGTTGTGCTGTCTCCATAGCATCTAGAGTATAGAGATGTGATTCCAAAGGAATAAAATCCAGTGACAATTGCATTAATGTCTTGAAGTACCGGATTGCTTGTGACGATGCAATCTGTTTGAGTAAATCGTTTGAACATGCTAAACAGGAATAATTAGAAAGATTTCCTTAGTCTATCACAAAAAAGCCATATATAGTATAATAGAATAAAAAAATGATTTTATAACATGGAAATCAGTTTACTATTAATGAAATGCTTAACTGTATGAACAATCACATAATGTGTAATAGTTGTCAGTGCGGGATGACTTTTGTCTGGAGAAAGTTAAGGATATCCTCAAATGAGTAGAACAAAGGAAAGGGGTTACATTACTGTATAATGAAAGTTTACGGATATATACATCAGAGTGAAACTCTAAAACATGTTGCATATGGATGCCATTTACGTTACCAAACTGTGAGAAAACATAGATACAAAAAGGTGATGATTTGACTACTCATGGCATTTTCCAACTATATTCTATCTCAACTTACTTGGGATATTGGTGGTTCAACGCAACTAGATCAATCAACCAAGATTACTGACTAACTGATTGAGTTTTCAAGGTAGCCTTAAATTTCAACGACAATCACTGCACAGTTCTGAATAAGTGACCTAATATTCCATGTTCCCCTGTATTACGAATGTTACAATTGTAGGGGCTTAATTCGACTTAATCTGTTGTCTAGAGATCGATCACTATATAATCGCAGCAAACATAAAAACAATCATAACAAAGACGTACCTGATAGGAAAAAGACATGAGCGCTCGTATATGTTGGACCTGAAGCTGGAAAATCTTGTAACAGCAACTCAACCTCCTTCAGAAATATTAGGACATGAATATACTTACCGCTCTTCGAGGGCGCATAATGTATATTGCTGGCATATTAAGTTTCTGCCTTTTGCGTTTGAGAGATTCGACAACTAAATAGAGATAAATTTATGAGAACTAAATGTTTACTTACGAGTTATGCCATACTCAGTAATATCTTGCATCTTAAAACATGATGATAATACTCGTGTGGCGGCATCATCCATAATCAGAATCTTCCATCCCGATATTTTTGAAAGTGCTTCAAATATATATTTCCTGAAAGCTATAAGAGTTAAACCAACTTATGGGATACTTACAAATTCCTACTTCATTGATCAAGGACATTGGCCGCTGAAGCGTCACACATCAACCTTCCGCCTGAAGTATTCAACGCATTTGGAGCAGACAAAGTATGTTTGTTTTGCTTAAGGACAGTTAGGATTCAATGGTATAACGAAACATTTTTCATAACTCTTGAGCTTTACCACAGTTAATCGGTAGTTAATAAGACTGGAAACAGAACGGATGATAGCACTAAAACATGGTAAACAAAGTTCAGTCGCAGTAAACCTTCATAAATGCAGGCTAAATAAGTTACTTAAACATATTCTCAAAGAATTAATTACAAGAGGCGTTTAAAACGCAGTGGGTTGGTTAATAAGTTTGACTTCTACTGTAAAACAGTCATCAGGTTCTGGAATGTGCGAATTTTTTCACTTCCTTTTACTCTTCTCATATATCAAGAGAAGAACACGTAAGAGTGATGCTATCCCACCTCTTATGCTTGAAGATGAGCAGACAAACATGGCTGAGGATAACTTGACTAAGGCTGAGGCTTTGTCCAAGCACTTTAGTCAAGTATTCTCTGATAATATTGATACCAGCTTTGTAACTTTTCCAGAAGGTAACTTGAAAGTGGCACCCTTATACATTAGAAAGGATACTGTCCTAAAGTGGCTTCTAAGGCTCAATCCTGGTAAGTCCAGTGGCCCTGATGAACTCCACCCACATATATTAAAAGCATTGGCTGAAAACATAGCCGAGCCATTGTTGGTAATCTTCAATATGTCTCTGGACCAGTCTAAATGTCCAAGAGACTGGAAAGATGCCATCATTAGTCCGGTCTTCAAAACCGGATCTAGAAACTTAGTTCAGAACCATCGTCCTGTTAGTTTGACCAGATTGTTGGTAAACTACTAGAAAGAATAATTCGTGATGCTATCATTCAGTTAATTGAAGGGAACAAACTTTTCGCTGTGGAACAGCATGGTTTTAGAGCAGGTCATTCTTGGTTGACCAACCTTCTTTTGCCTAGAGAAAGTTGGGCAAGCTCAGCTGATGCTAATATACCGGTGGATGCCATATTCATCGACCTTAGCAAGGCGTTTGACAGGGTTTCTCATTCAGGTCTTCTAGTAAAGTTAGGTAGTCTGGGAATCAATAAAGTGGTTGCCGACTGGATTCAAGACTTTCTAAAGGACAGAAGACAAAGAGTACGAGTTAACGGGGTTTTATCAACATGGGAATCGGTTAAGAGTGGCGTTCCTCAGGGTACAATTCTAGGCCCACTTCTTTTCCTGATTTATGTCAATGAGATTGCATCGGTAGTTAAGTCATCCTGCTTACTGTTTGCTGATGACATCAAGACATGGAGGGCTTTACACGATGTCAGTGAGCAACTTGCTTTGCAGGAAGATTTAAACTTGTTAAGTGATTGGTGTAAGCACTGGGCCTTGGAGATTAACTTAAGTAAGAGTGGAGTTATGCATGTATATCATAGTCACGTGCACAATTACTCAATGAATGGCATTACTCCCCCAGTGGTCACTGAGTACAAGGACTTGGGAGTGGTTGTGCAGCATGACTTGAAAACAGCAACAAACTGTAGAGCTGCAGCCACTAAGGGTTTTCGAATATTATGGGCCATACGCAAGGCTTTTGCGAACTTTGACGCTGATATATTTCGTATATTATATCAGACCTCATTTGGAATATGGGATCCAGGCAGCGAGCCCGTGTTTCAAATACGAAATAGACCTATTAGAAAGGGTGCAAAGAGTAGGAATTAAGCTAATAAAGGGTTTCTCAACCCTCTCATATGAGGAGAGGTTAAGTCGACTGGGTTTATTTCCACTGTCATACAGACGACTTAGGGGTGACCTAATACTAGCATACCGTATCCTAAGAAATGATTTTGGAGCTAATTTATCTAATTTATTTCTTCCTTCTAGCACCAACCAATTTCGAGGACATCACCTCAAGGTTCAAAAACCACGGTCGAATCGTCTGCGTCTGGAGATCCGTTTTTCGCATCGAATTGTGAACTATTGGAACTCCCTACCGGAACACGTCGTATCAGCGCCATCCGTTGATTCATTCAAGGCGAGATTGGACCTCCTGTGTGTAACAAATCGAAAGGATTAACACAGGCATATAGCCTACTATCCTAAATAAATTGTAAACTGTATATGTTTACCGGACAAAATCCGCCAACTCGGTGATTCTGGCCACAAAACTTGTGTAGGATGACACTGCTTTTATTCCGCCTCCAGAAATGTAATATGATTTTAGTGCTGAGACTATAAATCACATCCACCATAGGTCAAATAATAAGCCCAGTGTTATGAAGTTCATCTGTGCTGTGCTTTGTGGGTGTTTTGAATTTCTGAAATGCTTTTAGTTGCTTCCAGATATAGAGTGTCTTCAAAGGAGTATAGATCTCGGTAGAAGCATGAACAGAATGAGTAAACCTAAAGCTCTCAAGCATTATCTTCGAGTTTGTGAAAATGTTGTATTTGATGTATTCGTGTGACTGTATCCTCGTAAATCTGTTGCAATATGGTCTTTCGATGAGGTATGATATGAAACAATATCAAATACACCACTGCTCAGCCACCTAACATACCTGTTTTACACATATTTTACACTTATAGCACCGAACTATAAATAACTATTAAGAAAAGCCAGGAAGATACCTTGGTTTTGCAATCAGTAATGGACAGGACCCCAGCCAAGTGGTGACACGACGAAAGAGTCCTCATAGAAAGCTGTGCAGGCATCTGAAACAAGAAGATGAGGAGATAAAAGTGATGTACTTGGAGGTGAATCAGAATAAAGAAAGGATAACCTGAGTACAGCGCATTCCACAAACGAGTTCATGAGAGTGTTAAGAAAGAGAAAACAGAAAATAGTTGAAAAATATAATCCTTAGAAACAAAGAATTGCGGGCCATTCAGCCATCGCATAACCCAGAAGAAATAGCCAAGCTTTTCAAAAGTAGGTTAACAAATTCCAAAACAGCCTATCCAAAAGTATCATGCTTCCATGGCACCGCTTGTGGGAATACTGGGGTGATATGTGAAGTGTTTAGCAAGCACTTCACCAGACTATACACCTTAGAGAACGATCAGGTCGCGGATTTCCTAAGTAAAACAGAAGAATGTCTAAGTGTCATACATTTCGCCACACAAGAGATCGATAAGGCTATCTGAAATAAGCTGAATAACCGAAATTTAGGTCAAGCCGTGTTGGAAAGATTGGGTTGGTTTTACCACGTTTTAGATGCGGTACGGTGGCTGGAGCAAATGAGTTTCCTCGAATTGGGGGTATTTCACTAGGGTCTGTAGTACTAAAGTCAGTTGAACAGCCTATATGGGTACAGTATGGATAAGTAGACCGAAGCCCTTTTGTTGACAGGAACTCATTAAGGAGACGTTAGAATTCATCTGGAGATCGGCAACTACGTACAGTAAGTGGAAGTTCGTTCCATAATGCACTGTACTGTATTTTGAAGAAACTTGAACGCAGTTTTGTCCGGTATCAGGTTATGGATACAGTATTTTTATGACTCCTAAGAGTATGTATGGTTGTATTGTTGAAGGATATTGGATTACACTTTTGATGCAGCCGTGTAAAAGGCGAAAGAGGAATGTTAAGTTGAGTTTCAGGCGCCTTAACCAAAGTGGCTGAAGTCCATATTTTTTGAACCTATCCGCGTAAGTCAGTCCTTCAGTTTTGGTAATAGGCGTCGTGTGAAACTTCAGTGAATACTTTAAATACAAACCGTATCATACCCATGCATGAAAACGAAGACAATTGTGCAGTGTTCAAGTGCTGGAAGAACCATGACTTTGTATAGAAGGACTTTAGCCTCAGTTGTGTACATTTTTCGGTGTAACAAGCCTGTGAGTCTTCTGCATTTAGAAGCAACTGATTTTGCGTACTGACTGAATGTTAAGTTTTGTGAGTAGGTAACTATCAGGTCCTTTATGGAATTGAGGGTTTGATGAAAAGAGCCACCTAGGTGTTACCTGAAATTCGGATGGGAGTTACTGAAGTAAAGGAAACCACATTAGTCAGAATTGAATGGCAGTTGCCAGTCATTGTTCCAGTTATGTAACCTATCCAGATCATCTTGAATATGTGTGAATCCCTCGGACAGAGTAGAATATGGGAAGCTGTATACAATCTTGAAGTCATCGGCAAAGAGGTATGGGGTTACATGCTTGATTACGCTGCAGATTTCGTTAGCGTAAATTAAGAAAAGCAGTGGACCTAGTAGAACACCCTGAATCACTCCACTTCGTATAGGTCTGAGTGACGAGTAATTATTTGGGAATTTCACAACTTGGGAACGGTCTTCCAAGAAAGAATTGAGCCAGGATAACAAGGGGTCCTGGAACCCGTACGACTTCAGCTAACGAATTAGTCTTTTGTGTGGGACTTTATCAAAGGCGTTTCTTAAGTTGAAGAAGAGAGCTGTCGCAAGCTAATTGTAATAATAATAATTTTATACTTTCATATAAACACAAATTTACATGAAAATGCATGCCATTTTTACAGGCACGATCAAGTATGATACAATGTCAAATAGTAGATTGTCTACAAGTTAGTAATGTTTGAACAGCTAAATATTTGATATATGTATAAATACACTCTTTGTCTGACCCATGTCGTATCATTATTGAATTAAACAGCAGTCCTCCAGGTTGCGCAGGAAAATCGACTTCTTTCGTTTTCAACCCAAAGTTGTAGGCATACGATAACCAACCAATATTGAGGTAAGTACAAGGTTTACAAGGGATAGTAAGCTGTTTTAGAAAAGTAAAGATGCTAAGGTGAATCATTAAAGTGTAATGAAATAAGTAAGTGCAATGTATCATTAATATATGCATTCATAAAGGAAATACAATGGGAGACTATAATCCCTAGGCTGACAAAGTTCCTTTGCAATGTATAATGCTACCCTATAGGTTTTACTATCATGTTGTCCACTTTTGGTTTAATACAATTATCCACAAGCCGGTTGTTTTAATTTCATACCTTTTTGTGTTTGGTGCACAACCGTACCCTATGGAGAATAGGAATAAAATA